GAAAGAGAACAGGCCTGTCTCTACGGGGGTTGGGCGGACGGTGATAATGCAGATTCCTTCAGTGGTCTTCTGAGGAGTCATGGCGACGACTGATATGCTAATTTCAAGCACAAAGGTTCATGCAAGATGCTTTAAAAGAAGTCTGAAATGAATATATCTTATTTTCTTCACCAAACAGTCATAACAAGTTATGTCCATCAGAAATCAGAAATCGAGGTAGGTAGGAAACCCCTACAAATCCATGTGTATCGTGTGTGTAAACATATGCTTTATGCTACATGTTTTCATCTGCTTCCCAAACAGAACGATACATTCTGACACCATTTGTATAGAAATATATCCGTATATTTGTTAATATAGCTGCAATTTCGACAAAATTATGGTGTCTTATTTTGTAAATACTGATGTTGTGCTCGTTCCTCTTCCTGTTGGTGCACGTAATCTTTAAAAATGGACTCCAGCGCAGCTCCGGCGTCCAGCAGAAATACTGTAGAATCTGATTTTGCCGGATCGCCGTCCGCTCACCACCGCCGTGTGGAGCAAGTGTAAATACTCTCATTGATTATAATGGGTGTGTATTGCTGCAGAGCCAGAATGCATGTAGTGTAAATTAGAAGAAGGGTTTGTTATAAGTTTACATTAAGGAAGTTTGCCTAAATGTATTGACATAGTTTGGATACTGTGATGGAACTAATATTTTTAGGTTTAATCCAGTAATTCGTGAAATACTTTAATGACCTAGGTTTTCATGACATGCTCTTTATCAGCAGATGGAATGATTAAAGTCAGAACAAGATTTGCTAACAACAGTCATTCTTAGATATCACTTGTGTTTACCTTTGTGTTTTCCTTTGACCCAGCATTTCCTTAGGATGAAATCTTGCTTTATTAAGATGACATAAAAGTGTTTGTTAAACAGTATATATGAGGCCTCAACTGCCTCAGCGAAGCGGAAGCAGTACCAGAGAGCAGGGGGACAATCTGATGGCTCGATGTTGTTCTCTGTGTTTCCTGTTGTTGCATTAAAACTCAGCTGATCATCTCACGGAGTACCTTCATTCTTGGACCACGTATTTCTGTCTTTGTTAAATAAATATTTCCATAACAGATACCTTTCCAACCATAGTAGCCTTTATTTTTCCTAATTTTGCATGTTTTACTGAAAGATCTGAGAGGATTTTTGAATCTGGTATCATTTGTTTCTAATATAAAATTATCCCACATAATTTTTACTAAAAGAGAACAAATACACACTAGGTTGTTTTGCTACTGTATCTCAAGCTGAGATATGCAATCCACCAGTGTGTGGCGTCTCTCAAAGACCTTCAGTGTACACAGAAGGAAATATTCATACTAACAGATGGCCAAGCTGCTATTAGAAATCTCTGAGGGCCACACTTACTTCATTACTGGCTTGAGAGTGTGCCGAAGCAGTCAACCAACTAAGGAGAAACAACAGTGTTTCTGTTAAATGGGTACCAGGACATTACTGGCATTTATGGTAGCGAGAGACCTTTCAAAAGCTGCCAGTCAGGCCTATTTCAATGGACCACAGCCTGTTGTAGGTATTTCAACAGTCTGTAGGACTGCCCTACAGGCCTGGATTAGACGTCAACACTCAATCCACAAAGGGAGCTGATGAACTGTAGACAGGCATGGGAACTGATAAACGGCCCAAATCATTGGTTTGAGAAAGCTCTCATTGTCCTGGGAAGGAAATCTCCACTGGCTGGGGTCCTAAGTGGGCACAACCTGCTCAACCACCACAAAATGGTGATGGACTCCATGACTGGTCTATGTGATGCATGTGGCGTTGAATTAGAGACCTCTATGCACTATGGCAATAGGCCCAATTACATGGTCCCCGCTCATATGGGTTTTTTATCCATCCCCCACTCACCAAAGCCATAGATGAACTTCATTTTGTTTTGTTTTTTTGTTTTTTTTATAAAAAAAATAATTTGTCTTAATGAATGTAATAATGCAATGCAATTGTATACTTGAATGCAGATTATGAGACTTGATGAAAACTTATAACAGAAGGGGTCGCCAACAAAGTTCACTGGGAAGGCAGAATTGTCCTTGGGAAACCGCACAGGCTGTTCAGTGATAATGAAGATATAATAATAATAAATTGATGAGGAATTTGCATGAGAAACATGCAGTCTATTAAATACAAAACCTTACATCAGAAATTTTATACCATTTTCATGATTTTGCGTAATTACCATTTTTGGTCAACATTCACATTTCTGTTTGACCTTCCAGAAGGGGAAAAAATACAAAAAAAAAAAAGGGCATTTCTGGGTTTATT